TCTGTGAATCTGTGAATATCAAGGATGAGTTCGATTGCACACTGTTCATGAGGTCAGGCTCCCTTGTGTTGCTTACACAAAATAAGATTTTTGAAGAGCTCCCAAGGATGTTTATATAGATTCCTCCCTAGGGGATCAATATCTGGTAATACATACTATAAACCCACTCAAGTGGCACATAATATATTTAAATGTGCTATGAATCTAGTATCTTTCATTTGCTCTAGAAAGCACTTTATGAGAAATCAGGAAGCTGGAGCAGCTTGTTGAGATACAATCCTATTTCTGATAACTAACAATTGTCTCATTGAGGGGAATTTCCTACTTTCGTTAGGCTTTTATTGAAGCTTCAAAATGGGATTTATCTTCAGCCATCCAAAAAAAAAAAGGTATTTACTCTCCGTTTTGTCAGTAAAGAATTAAGGACCTGAGAACTAGGATGGTCAGGATCACTGTTAGATGGTTTACTTTTTGTTCATTGAYGAAAGAGAGGTTTTGAAATTTAATAATTAAGAGGAAAAATAGATGTGGAGCTCCACCTCCTGGAACCACTTCCTGAATACAAGAGAATGGTTGTCTATACTGATTTCRCTCATTACATTAAAAGGGCAAAGAGGAAAATTGTAACTTTTGCAACAAATGCACTTCTTCACTTTCTTGTGGGACAGTTTGTCCTGTGYTTTTTTTCTTCTGCTCAAAGTCCTTGCTGTCTGTCTGAGATCAGTTAAGAAACCAAATGACARCTGGTTCTGCCTTACGTTCCCTGTGCAAAGCACGCAGGGCCCGCAATGACTGATACTGCAATAGTCTGCCACCATGTTGAAGTGTGCTCTGTAGGCTGTATTATCTCAAATTACTAAGTTATTTTAAAGAAACAGCCGTGTTAATGTATTGCTAAACSTGCTTGTTTCACCGTTCTCCCTTTCAGCTCCTTCTGAGAAGTACCTCCGAGCAGAGACCTTTGAAGGGATGTGTGCGCTGCACCTCTCCGCCAGCCACGGGTGCGCGCAGAGCGTCCGCGCTCTCCTGCAAGCGGGAGCCGATCCCAACGAGGTCACCACCGAGGCCACCACGCCGCTCTTCCTAGGTGATGCTGCTTGCCTGAGACCTCAGAGTGCTGACATGTAGCCAAGAGYCGTGGAATAGCCCCGAGTTGATTTGCTGCTTATCGTGCTTCATGTTTTTTGAAGCCTTTTATATACATACTAAGGTGTAGAATCAGAGATGGGGTGGTTCAAATAGCTTCCTGCTTAAAGTCTGCCTCGGGACTGCATTTCAAAATCAAATTGTAAAGCAGAATAGACTTTTTATATCTCTGCTTCCTTCAAGTGCAGAAAAAGTCTAGAATCCTTCATGTCTTTTTAAAAGAAGCAAATTATTTGCATACCGAGTRGGCCAATTCCTCCTCTTCTCATTGTTTTGTGAACAGGTGCTTATTGATCAAGTCAGTGCTATAAAGTTTGACTGTTTTCAGGTACGTCTGTGGTGTCAGACTGTAAGAAATTAATAATTTGTGTTAAATGACTCTTCTAATTGCCTTTTGCATGATGTGTTGAAGATTATTTTTCGCTTGTAAACCTGCTGGGGATTTTAGCGGTCTCCTGTAGTAAAAGGTTGTCRCGGTGTGTTGCAAATGCTATAGAATTGATGGGCAGAAGATCTTTTGGTTATATTATGTGGGAATTAATATGTAGTTGTATTTCTACGTATGTCTATTTATTAGAATTAGTGCTCTACTAATCATCTGTGATAAAAGGCAAATATTAAACAGAAGCCTRTTTCTAATACCTGTTATCTCCTTAAATGAAACATATTTTATGGATGGCTTTAAAAGAGTTGTCCTTAAGTCTTATGGTCTGTGGTTGGTTATTCTCAAACTAGCTCTTCAAAAATGTCTGCAGGCAGAGGATTTTAATCTCTAATTTGTCTATGCTTCATATGTGTTATCATTAGCATACTGCTTAGGCAAATAATCCCCTGTTGGAGGGCCTTTTGGATGCAAGTAAATCAAACTCATGAGGATTTTTTACCTTGCTAATCTTCAGTAAACATAGCATTTGCTGGCAAGTTCTCAATCTTTTCTTTACTTCAGTATAAAAACAAGTTATGTGCTATGTTTAGATGTGTTTAGGACCTTGTTCGCTTTTTGCTTTCCAGCAGCTAAGTAGCTTATTTGTTTAAAACTGCCTGTGCCAGGTAGCTCCTGAAGGGACACTGCTATGGCAGGAGCGCCGGATAGTGGCGCTTAGCACAATATTGGGGAGCCCCCTGGGTGAGAGGGAATGTGGAAGCAGGGATGGTGGGTGGTTGGAAAGCAGCTGTGCTTGAAAAGTTTGTTTTTCATTAATCATTTTGCACTGCTGGGAGCATGTACTAAGGATAAAAGTATCTGGGGCAGGTTGTTCRTGGGCCGGTTCTGCCCCTGCCCAGGCTGAGTGCGGAGGAGGCTTTGAGGGCAGGTTGGATGAAGCTCGGAGCACCCGTCCTGCAGGGAGAGAGAGGCCAGATCCCTGTGCTGGTGCCGTGGGGCAGTGCTGGCTCTGCAGAGGGGAGCAGGGTGGCAGATCTGGAGCCGCCTCTTGCTTTAGGTGCCTCTGCCTTTGGGCCCCAGGTGTCAGCCGGAGCTAAGGGACAGGGAAGGAGGGCCGTGCGTGGAGGCTGATCTCCTTAGGAGCATCCTTSCTTACGGACAAATGGGAGTGGCAGGGGTTGAGACGTGCATGTGGAATTAGTAGCAGCTGGAAGTCGCTTCCTTAGAAGCTGCTGGAGTCTTTGGAGGAATCTCTTGTTCCGGGTTGCGGTGCTTTCCCCTGCTGCCTGTGGCAGGATTTTCTCTGCCCTGTTCATGCAAAGGTGCAGTTAGGACTCCCTTAAATTTTGCCAGMAATGCACGGGAAGGCAATGAATGGTAGCACTAGAGAGAGACCAGTCTCCCCTTCTTTCAGTGGCCCTTTTTGGGGATTTAACTGTTATCCTTCCCCTCTGAATATATATCTTAATTTATATTGGTATGCAGGTGTAGCTACATCCTCTTTGCCGTGAGGTTAAATGGGGAATTAGTTTGGATACYAGAATCAATTCTGTGCTCTCCACCTACGTGGGTGAAATTCCTGGGTCCCTACACGTTGCACTGGCCTGCAGTGTGTGGTGCAGGCTAGCAGGGCTGAGCCATGTGGCTGCTGTGGGTTGTCACCCGTGAGCAGGCTCAGAAGAGAACATCCCTGGCCCACTGAAAGCAGGTACCTGAGGAAATGGTTATGGTTTCAGATTATTTCATAAAGCTGGTCTAATAAAAGTCTAGTTAAGCAGAGGAATAACATTTCTTTAGGAATAAGTACAGAAGCTCTGTTGCAAATTGGCTTTATATCAAAAATGATGAAAGAGAGGTTGGATGTTTGATATTTAGAATAGATAATGACTGTCATGGTAAGCGGTGCTGCACAACCGTTTAGGAGAAATCAGGTTTTGAAGGAGGGAAAGTAAATATAAAATAACAATGATTAGAGCAGTGGGAACTTGGTGACAAGATCATCTGAGTTGTGTACTGGTTCCTTTTATATCTGTAAAAAATTTCTTTTTAACTGTTCTTTTGAAGCTGTTGAAAATGGACATACAGACATTGTAAAGCTTCTGCTTCAGCATGGAGCAAATGTTAACGGACATCACTCTTGGTCTGGATGGAATTCTTTGCATCAAGCTTCTTTTCAGGTAACCTGTAAGTGCATCATATCCTTTCCACGTAGTTGCTGTGTCCTGAATAATGCTTTGTAATTTACCTTTTTATGAAGAGATTTTTCCTAAACTAGTTGAAATGATAATATACTTGGAGTAAACTCTTTGATGCATCTGAAACTACACAAGGTGTTGGGTAGTAATTTCTGTTTAAGTAAATTATTTATTTAAATTTAAAGTAAATTATTTATTTAAATTATTGGATGTGCTTATCAGCGTATTCATTATATTTGGGGAGTGAATCTGTTATATAAGATTTTCTTAGGGGAGGAGGGAGACTTCTATTTAGCTTGGATTTTTCCTTATGATGAGATACTATTTCTAGAACAGAAATATGTTTGCTTAATGGTTCTAATGCGTTAGTTTTATTTCCGTTTGGGTAATTTCATAAATGGGAAGAATGAAATGAAATTTGTTTAGCTCTTCAATTTTTATTTAGACTGGACTATATTGTGTCTTTTCTATTTCTGTTGTGAATCTGTGGAAAAATGGGTGTCCTGTTAATTTCCTGTTCTTTTTGTTTAAGAGTAAAATTATGTGTTTCAGGGATATACTGAGATAATAAAAATTCTCCTGGAGAAAGGAGCGAACAAGGAATGTGAGGATGACTTTGGAATYACCCCTTTGTTTGTGGCTGCTCAGTATGGGAAGCTGGAAAGTTTACGCACACTTGCMTCCTATGGTAATTGTCACCATTCAGCCTCACTGTGCCCACGCTGGCACTGGGTTGCCARCAGATGCAGTTTTGGTTCTGTTCCTTTACTTCATAATTTCAAAATTGCATCTTAATTATTGAAATGTTGTTATTTCAGGAATTTGAGCTACTTTTCTGTAAGTGAAATAGGAATTTTGAAATAAGAATTCAAATTCCTGAGAAGGTTAAGGATCAGATTTCATGGTCTCACTAAGAACTCTGAATAGTACTACATAAGTGCTCTTGTTTTGGCGATGTTATTCGGGATATTGTTCAGGTTCCTAAAGCAACAGCAGTGGTTTCATTCACATAATCAGTGTTTTCTATGTCTAAGTGAACGTGACCTTCACAATCAAAATTACATGCATGACTGTTAAGGGTCCTTGACCTAACTATAGAAGCCATACTAGCTTGTCTATCAATACCTGTAGGAGGATAGGTCAAAAAATGATTGCAAATCAAGTATCACCTCCACCTTCCTCCAGCACTTTTATCTGGTGTTTGTCCGTTGTGCTGAGCCTGGAGGGAGCGGGAATGGTGCCCCCCAGGCTCACGAGAATGTTCTCTCTTATGACAAGAGAAGAAAATCACATGTAAAGCTCATTTCTAGGACTGTACATATGTAAGCCGTGAATGTGATTTATAGCTCTGCTTCTTACATATTTCTTATTATTGGGATACAATGTACTGCTAGTAATTTGCAGGATTATGAACCTAACAACTTGTCAGTAAAGCAAAATCAGTGACATATCAAATAAAGGCAGTGTGTTTTATATGGAGAAATATATTTTCCTGTGTAGCATGTTACTTCAGTTAAGTTTTATTAGTGTAGCATAGATGATAAATATCTAAGGATTTATTACTTCACAGCATTGCATTTTTCAGTATTTTATGCTTCTAAAAATAGAACGAATAATGTAAAGCCCTGTTTCCTCATTCGACTCCTGTGCTAAGGGATGTATGCACACCAGACTGCTACAGGACTTAAGATGATCATCCTAACACTATGCTTTTATATATATATAAATAAATATAAATATATGTTTATATATACACACATACACACAAACTTATGTGTGTATATGTATTATATATATGCATTTACATTTTATGAAGCTAGCAACAAGCTTTTTCTTTTAATATTGCGGTGGAAAACACTTTCATGGCAAAGTCATTCTGTGAAAAGCAGTTACTAATGAACGCTAATCTGTCATTTACTTCATGCTTGCTTTGTGAATGTGTCTCATGAAGTATGGGCCTCTTTGGCAGGTGCCAACGTCAACTGTCAAGCCAAGGACAGAGCCAGTCCCCTGCTGATCGCGGCGCAGGAGGGTCACGCCGCGTGCGTGGAGCTGCTGCTCTCCAAAGGGGCCGACCCCAATCTCTACTGTAACGAGGAGGAATGGCAGTTACCCATCCACGCAGCAGCTGAAATGGGCCATAAGAAGTAGGTGATTAAACAATATCTTCACACGAGTGATTCTGGTAATTAAAACCGAAGCGGCAAAGTGAGCGTGCAGCTTGGAAAGGAAGGAAAACAAGGTGTCAGACTGATCTGTGGCTGACGGTTATTAATCCTTTTTGGGTTTTAAGGGTTTGGTGGTATTTCCAGTGAAGTGAATGATTGCATCTCATCTGGGTCTGATCCATTTCCAAATCAATTTAGAGGGGCTTCCAGAAAAGGAGTAACTCTTGAATCAGGTAGAAATCCCATAGTAGGCGTATTGCTTTCTCATTGAAAGCAAAACAATAGCATATGCTTCATACATCACTTGAACAGCCCTTAATTGGTGTTATAGTCCTGTCCTTGAAGGAACAGAAAGAATCGTAGGCAAGGAGTAAATTAGCTGAACCAGCCAGAAAATCAAAGCCACAAAACTACTCTAGTAATCCTTGTAAAATGTATTTATAGCTTTGCCCAATCTCAGTGAAATAAGGGGCTTTGYAGCAGAAAGATACAGGTGGAAAAGAATTCCTGGAGTGGCAGGTCCCTCGGAAGAGCTTCCCTCAGGACCCCTGGGATTTGCACATGTGTTATAGCACTTAAAGCAAGGGTGCCACTCGTGAGGAAGTTATTAGTGTAGTTGCTTTTGCCTTAATCATTAGCACAAGAAGCTCCTCAGCCAATTGTTGTTGAAGTGCCCAAAACTGAGGCCTCTACCCAGATAATGAGGAGGTCAAACTGTAGTAGAGGTGGGTGGGTTTTATTTTCTTTTTCTATTAAAGTGATGGATGGGTTGGCCAAACTGTCCAAACTGTCAGTACTGGAAATATCTTTGAATCAAATGCTGCCTTCACTGCCCTTGCAGTCTCTGAGCAGCTTCAGTGAATTGTGCTGGCAAAGGAACCGGTGTTTATTCACTAATCCCTGCTAGCTGCGAAGGATGCAATTCAAAGGCATGAAGTATGAGGTATGAGAAAGTGATTTTTCTGCTTCAGTCTCTCAGTGAGTGCTGTTGAACAGAAGTGAATATTCATTTTTGTCTGCAACTCGCACGTTCCGTTTACCTCCAAACTCTGCAGATCTGAATGAGCCCCCCAGGCTCAATAAACAGCTCTAAAAYGGACTGTAGCATAACGTGGAGTAGCTGGCCAAGGTTTGGTCAGAATGTGYTTGTTGCTAACAGATTCAGAATTTAAGAGTGTGTGCAGCAATATCCTTTTTACAGCCAGCCACGATGAAAATCAGTGGCAAAGCCTATTATGTTTGTGTGATTGCATGGATGAAATGAGGAGTGCTCTTCCTTTAAGCAACTCCACAGTGAAAAAATGAGTAGACTTTTCTTCTTGAGTAGCAGTGAGCTTATGAGAAATGACCAGAAAATTAAAATGCTGCTGTTTGATAAGCCCTCCCAGATAAGCAGTGATGTTAAATCTTTGCAGTATCCTGGAGTTGCTCATACCACTTACTGATCGGATCTGTGACCAAGGAAAGGATAAAGTGAGCCCCGTGTATTCGGCGATCTACGGTGGGAATAAGGAATGCCTGGAGATGTTACTTGAGCAAGGCTACAGTGCGGATGCTCAGAAGTGCCTCACCTTTGCCTGCAGGTCACCCATGTGCATGGTTTTCCAGAAAGAGTATGTATACCTTTCTCTCTTCAGATTATTCACTGGTGTGTTGTCATGTTTGTGCTTCCTGAATGGGCAGAGTTGTCCTGCCCTCTTTCCTCCGCTCTGGAGATGAGAGAGTTATGCTGGAAGCACCTGAGTGATGTGCAGGTTGGGATTAGGGGGGTGAGCTGCAGCACCTTGTGCACACCTCCTTTGGGAAGCCCATCTCTTTGAAGAGGAGTCTTGCCAAACATAATTGCAGTCTAGCTTTCCTGCTTTCCAAAGGCCTTATCAGCCCATCTCTGTCTKCTGGGAACTGGACCTGATGCTGTAGTTGAATCAATCAGACTCTTAATTAGCCAGATACTTTCTAGTGAGGAAAAGTTGCTAGAAAAGACTGATTTACTKTCTCCATATGCCAGTGCTATGCTTACAGACAGATAGGTATACACAGATGTATGTTTTAGACATACTTCTGTAATTAAAGGTTCCATCCCATACACATATACTGGAAATGAAAGCACTGGAAACTCTGCCTGAACGTCAGGACCCAGCGCTTTCCCGGGAAGGTGGTTCTGTGGCMCTGGGGCAGGCTGCCCAGAGTCTTTATCCTGCTGGAGATGTTTCAAACCCAAATGTTAAAGGATACATAAATAATATAAAAAATACTATATACAAAAATGCATCTATATATGTAAATATATATAATATTTAAATATATAAATATAAATGTAAATACATATATAACACCCTTAATATAGGTGTTTGCAATATATACTTGTTACGTGCTATTAATCAATAGGATAGCACGCTCCTACAGTTGGCAGTTTGACTTTTTTATTTTATTTTATTATTATTATATATATTTTTTAAAACCTAACCCAGGCTATTCCATCTCTGTAAGAGCACTACTGGGGTTGCTCATGAGGGCCTCCTAACGCAGCTTTGCCTTTTAAGCTGTTGTGTTATGCACACAGTGAGATTCTCTGATGTGCTAACATGACTATATGCCTTGTATGCTGTCCGTAGGTTTTTCGACTTTATCGACATTCTCCTCAAATACGGGATCACCCTCCTGGGGATTAACTTGGGATATTGCCTGTTGCATGGGAAGTTCGCCTTGTTCCGCCGCTTCTTGGCGTTGGGCTGTGAGCTGCCCTCTGAGGAGCAGCTGCCCGAGTTCGTAGGCCACGCGGCGAAAGCGCACGAGCACCACGCCGAGTGGCTGCCTCCCCTGCTCTTGGCTGGCTTTAATCCTCTGCATTTGCTTGGCAAGCCGTGGTAAGATGATTTATTTATTTACTTATTTACTTATTTATTTAGTGTCCGCTTGTTTGCGAACCTGTTGCCAACCTTTTCTAATAAGGGCATTCCAGGGACAGTCCCTGCTAATTAGTTGCAGTGAACTGGAAGCAGAGAAGGAAGTAGTTATTTACATGCAGAATAATGGGTATTCCGTAATTCTGTGGAAGGCTTGAAGGGAAAGACTCACGGATAAAGGCCAGATTCAGTAAAACCAATTTCCTTCCCTGCTTGAGGAAGGAAGTCAGAGTGAGAATTGCTTTCTCTCTGCTCTAGAAGAAGGCATCCCTATCCATTCTGGTATCAAACCTCTMATTAGCTGCAGATTTAGTTTAACCTTGAGCGTGCCTGGGCAATGCAGTTATTGGGAGAAGAACTTTCCGTGCCAGGGAAGAGATCTGAGGAAATGGGAAACACGTGTAAGGCGAAGCTGGGCCGTGTTTAGTGGGGAGGAACTGGACTGGAGTTAGAGACTATGTCAAAACAGAAGAATGTGACCCAAATACYAGCCTGGTTTTTCTATTATTCTGTATGTAAATAACTACTTGGTTGATTGTTTTATACCTAATATAAATAAATATATTAGGCTATAGAATAGTAGTAGTTCTTTTGTTGTTGTTTTCATTGCCTGTGAAGAAGACTTTTAAGACTCTTTTCCATAATTATGGGCTTTTAACAGAATATTTTGAGATGTATAACCTCATTATATATATTACTTTACAACATGAAGGGAGTAGGAAGCAGGCATTTTAAGATTTCTTTAGTTTTAAGTATTGGCTTACGTTTCAGATACTGTTCAGATAGCAGAGCTTATTTGTTATACTGTTTGTGTGTTAATTGCATTCCTTTTGGTTGAGTGAAATTCTATTACTCATTAACATCCAYGGCCGCCTAAGCAGTAGCTAGTGGAACATACTTAGAGGCTGATGTATCTGTGATTCTCTAGATAGTTTTGTATGTAGAGTGTGATTGGAAGAGTAAAACTACTATAAAATTGCAGCTCAGTAAGTAAACTAATCTTGCCAAATATTTTTATCATATGTAATGCTTTTTAATACTTTATATAATCCACAGTGCTTTTGGGAGGAATGCTTACTGTGTTTAAATGCCTGCTTTCAAAAACAGTGCTTCTCATGGCATCATCTACAAGACTGAAGTTAAACTTTCATGAAAACATCAATATTCACTAATTTCTCCTAGAAAAAACAGCACTTACATTTACACATGTTGCTGATTGCCTCTGACTGATTGTGCAAAGCCTGTCTGTAGTCACACACTGGTTAATGTAGTGCATYGACAATCCTAATTACCAGTGGAAAAGCAAAACGTGTTGATTTAATTAAAAAAAAAAATCCCCCAAATAAATATATGTGGTATGAATTTTTCTCCAAATATGATGGAAAATCCCCTTAATGTCCTGGTAACAGGGCCTTAAAATCCATTTGGAAATGGGACAAAAAGTTAATGGGAAGGAGAGTTCTGCCTGTTACGGAGCCCTATAAATTTCAGAAAAATCCAGCCGTTCTAGGCTAACTTCTTTGGATTTCTATTCAGTGTTTTTTGTTTCTCTGCTTAGGACATAGATGGTTAAGGCTCTGTTAAAAATAATAAAACCATTCCATGTTTCTTTTTTTTTTTTTTTTTCCCCCCATATAATTTTTATGCTATTCTGCAGAATCAAATAATTTCTGGGATTTCTTTTTTATGCAGGATTTGTTCTGTCAACGGGGATGCCCTTAATTTTGTTCTGGAATTCACGAACTGGAAGAGACTTCCCCCAGCTGTGGAACGGAGCCTTTCGGACTGCAAAGAGAGCTCCGCTTGGATTCCAAGCAGGCATTTTGGTAAGCTGCAACCAGGAAAGAACCCTCTRTACACACCAGTTCTCAGGATTAAGTAGGAAACAGCATTCTGTGCTGCTCTTTGTGCTAATGCACGATGGCAATAGGACGTCAATAATTAGAAGATTCATGTTTGGATATGAGGACTGCTGGAGAGAAAGACATTGCAGGAAAGGTTGTTCTTGACAAGCTCCCAGGGGGAATTGTTGTTGTGGGGACACACAGGTTTGGTCTAACTGTTGTGTCCTGTCTTAACACCTGAGTTGCTGAAGGTGTCAGGTTGTTCTGGCATCCACCAGGAAGCTTGTCAGAAGGAAGTGAGAAATGAAACTTATGAATGAAGGAGCGGAGAGCGGYGGTTGGATGAGGACAGGTCCTTTCGGAGGCTTCCGGCTGGTGGAATTTTGCTGGCTTCCTCGCATGCAATTGATGTCAGTATTGTCATATTTGAGGCCAAAGCCTGAGGCTTGTGCCAGAATAAGCCGTACTATAATATGAAAGCTTGTTTCTGAGTGACTGTACTTTTACAGGCGTGTTTTTATATATCTTTAAGTCACGGGGTTTTCTCCGGTTGACTTATTTGGTAAAATCTTAGACACCATGTGGACCTTGGTGTTATGTTCTGGCTTACAAAATGCTCTATAAGGTGTGAGGGTATTGGAGGTGCTCTCTCCTATTCCACCTACACCCTCTTCTTTCAGAGGTCATTGCAAGCATTAAGAATGGTTATTAAAAGACACCTTACGGAAGACCTTAGAAATCCCGTTGAGATAGCACTAATAACTTGGCTCTTCAGTATGGACTTGAAATACACTGGGGCTTTATATGCACCTGTGACTCATACGTATAATCATGAGAGGGAAAGAGCAGAGGTTCCAGAGCGCTAGTTTCTCATTTCACATCAAAGCACACAAATAACGTCGCTTATAAGTGCTCATACAAACACATAGCGGGTTTGGCAGGCCTTAATCCATTGTAAGAAGTCAAGTTAAAATAGCAATAACTTGAACAATAATAACTTAATCATGTTGTCATTTCATACTTACTCTAGGAAAGTGTTACCTTTTTACCTTTTTTTTGTTGTGGCTTGATTTACTAGACTTATTTATTTTTCATTTCTTATCATCTGACATGGGCTTCTTTCTCCCYAGGCAGCTGGTTGTTTTAGGTAGGTTGAGTGAAACTTTCTGATCAAGGATAAATCATCACTGGAATTTTGAGAAGTTAATGGGTTGTTTGTTTGCTTGCTTGCATTTTTTTGTTTTAAATAAGGACTGTACTCCCTATTTAAGCTTCCAAATACTGATTCTCTAGGAGACAATGGACCTTGGCAGCCAAGAACCTTGTTTGGTTACCTGGTACAAACATGGGCCGCTGTCTGAATCAGGGATGATCAAGCTGCGCACTCCCATGCTTGTTCACCGTTTGTTTCATGTTTTTAACTTTTTCAGCCGTCATCCCTCCCTTGTCTCATCTCTGTCGTCTGGAGATCTGGTCCATCTTAAAGCGCGGGCGCCTGCGGTCCGAGCAGTTCATCYGCAGACTGCCCTTACCAGCCTGCCTCCAGGACTACCTCCTCTACCAGGATGTGCTGAAGGCGAGCGGCATTCCCGCAGCCGTGGGCTCCTTGCGCATGGGCACCGAGGGAATTGCTGCTCCCGGTCAAGGCAGCTCCACTGGGGCCAGCGGAGCCGGTGCTACTGCTCCCAGGTGATGGCTCTGCCTGCCATGGAGCTCTGCCGCTGTGGAATTCACGGTGGGATTTGGCCATCGGCCAGGGAAGAGCTGCTCTGTACAGAGCACTTGCTAGTAACAGGCCTCTTCATGGGGTGGTTTTCTAATGGATCTGGGAGTTTGTTGCGAGATCTGCGAGGTGCTTGTTTAGAAAGTCTGCCACAGACCCTCAGTCTGCAAAAGTTTTCTGTTTCTGAAAGGAACTTCTTGACTCTTAAGGAGTTAAATTAGTTTGTTCAATGAACGGAGCTTATAAAAGGTTGAAATGTAGTTGGTCAGACACTGTTAATACTAACACTTTATTCCTAGGAGGGCTTTTTCCAATTGCAATATCTGGAAGTCAGGGGTACCTTGTACTACTACAGCTTTAGATGTTGAGGAGTGATCTAGGTGAACCAGAAATAAGAACCTAATGGAAAAAAGTGTTGTAGAATCAACTGTTTTCTTGGTCCTCTCTATTCATGACTTGAAGGTGTTCATTCTTTGGTCATCACTTTCAGCCATCTTTCAGTGCCTCTCCTATACTGCTTTCATTGAAGCAATTTCAGGATATTCATTTGAATATAAAAAGCAAAAAAGGACTTTGAATGCCCCATTTATTGTTCATCCTCCTTATGAACTTACGCACCGAAGTTTTTCTGTACAGTCATTGCAAAATATCATTGGAGTATCTGTTAATCCAGACACAGATATGAATATCATATATTTTTTTTCTATGGAAAACCTGTGTAAACCTGATCCATATCTTTTCTTAAGTGCTACAAAAATAAAATGCTTTCAGAAAGACTGAAGTGTCTGTCATGACTCAACCTCCTCAGCTTGCTGATGAGTGAGTGCTCTAAAGGGCCCGTGATCGTCTTCCCTGGTGTCTTCAGTGTCAGACTTGGAAAGAAGCAGCCCGTGCTTGCTGAGTAACGGGTCTGCTTTTGGGTGAAATACTGAAGATTATTTCTCATTTGTAAACTGTTTTCTTATTTTCACTTGTATCGCTSTTGGATATTTGAGTGGTCTCCCGTAGCTGTCAGTGCATGTTGTCGATGGTTACTGAATTGTTAGGCTGAGGTTCTTTGGCTTTGTTATATGTAAACTAATATAGAGTTGCTTTTTTATATGTCCTTGTTGACAAGAATTACTGTACTAGAATAATAATCTGTAATAAAATGCAGAAATAAATCAAAAGAAGGGCTACCAGCTTTAAGAGTTAGTACCTCCTAAAATAAAACTTATTTTAATGTTTTTTAATGTATGTATTATTTTGCTTTTAAGTCTAATGGCTTATTATTCTCTTAGGCCAGTTCCTCAAAACTGTCTGAAGTTTTTTGCTGTCTAAATTGTGTATGTTCCATGTGTATATCATTAAATAGGAATTAGAAAAAATAATCCCATTCTCTGAGACCCYTTACATGTAAATAAATCAAAGCCACGAGGAATCATTAATTCACTCAGTTTTCAGTGAATACAGTATTCTGTGGCAAGTTCTTATTTTTATACTCAGCTGTGGAGAAAGTTGTTACACTCTGTTTAAATATTTGTAAATTTAGTTTCATGGTGACGTGCTTAAAACAACTAGTGAAAGATGTTAAAATATACTTGTTTGCTCTTGTGACCTATTACTACAATAGTAATTGTTTTGCAGCTGCATCACTTGTCTAATAGCAGCCAGTCTTTGGGACATGTAGGTTCTTGCAAGGGGATATGGTAACTTTGAAAACGAGCTGGTTTTGTATCAGCCATATATTTAGCAATCAAGGCCACTTACTTTAATCTTTTTTTCTAGGACTTTGGTTTGTGTACCTACCCGAGAGCCCCCCTAGGTGAGAGGGGCTGGGGACGGAGGGCCGCTCCCGAGGATGTGGAGCCTGCAGGGCGGCTCTGCCGGGCGCTATYCCGGGCTCCAGCACCGCTCCGGGTTGGGCCTTGTGCTCCCGGCTCCCGCCTACGAGCCCCACGCGCAGCCGCTCCCTCAGGAGCTCGGAGCAGTGGATCTTCCTTCAGAGCACTCGTGTTTCAGCTCTCCGTGCTGTTGCGGGGTGCGTTTGCTTTGTGAAACTGCTCCGCTTTAAAGAACGTCTCTTTTCAGGTTTAATAGTTTGTACTGAGTAAAATCTGAATATTTAGGTTRTCCTGTGTTTAAAACAATATGGAAATAAAAGCAGAAGACAATGTTAGATATAGTAGTAGTAGCTTCAGGRTTTAAAAGCAGGAGGGTATCCATGTCAAGTTAACTGGGAATTGAAAACTCGGGTACGCTACAACTTCTGTGCACAATACAAGTTTTCCTGTGTGTGTGTTTTATTTTCTTAGATGAGTTTAATGTTTCATTAGCTACTTTTGCCACTCCATCCTCTTGCCTCCATAAATGGGAGCGTAGCTTTTGAACATAAGTTGGAATATAATTGTACTGAACTGTGTAGTTTCATTTAAGTCTTCTCTTAAAGCAAAGACAACCTCCTACCCTATGCTGTTATCCCTCTTTATGTGCAGATATACATATGGCACTGGATATTGGATGAGAGGTAAGTCCTTCCTCATTGTTAGAGCTGCCTTAGGTAATCAGGTGCTGGTCACTGAACAGGTGAAAGGTTTGTGATAGCTGTGGTACATTTTCCTTACATACTTTTTTGTCTCAGTTGGGTTAGGAGGGTACAAAATGGAAGTGTCTAAAAAAAAAAAAAAAAAAAGCACAGTTATTGTTAATCCTAAAATATTTTTACATTTTTATCACTTTAAGTAATGTATCAGAAGAGTTGTTAGATGGAAGACTTCCAATTCCTACAGGGAGTTAAATGCTGTACTTTCTTGGATGTTTTAAAATCCTTGCTATGCTTTTAAAGCTTTGGGATTTTTATTTTCCTGACACAACACGAGCTGTCATTTGTGTATAATTCTCCAGGATGTGCTTTAGGGAAGCTGAGGACTACTGGGAACAGCTTGTGAAACACAGCCAAGCCAAAGAACTCTCAAAAATGGGTAGCATTTCAAAGGAGATGATAGTATTCCTAAAAAAAGGAGTTGAGCAAAAAAGCAAATAGGCTAAAATGAGTTTTGATATGATAGCTCATAGCTGGAAGTTCTTTACTGTTTCTACATTAAAAGCATGATTTCCCTGTATTGATATGAACTGCTATAAAGGGAGTGAGAGAGCTGTTCTTGTGAGGGAAAATTGGAAGGGATTCAAAGAAAATCCCTGGAAAAGCAAGAAAAGGAAGGAAGACTGGCTTCTTGGAGAGGGATGGCTTTATCTGTGCTCTGCTCTTCACTTCTTCCTTAGGTAACAGGCCTTCAGGGGACCTCTCCAGCTGCTGTTACACCGTAGAGAATAAACGTGTATCCTAAAGCTGAAGAAAGGGCAAAGAAGAAGAGTAGCAGGTGAAGGATGAATAACGGCAGGAAGGCCAGTGAAACCTTGCAGTTCTGTTTCTTTGTTAGAAGCACTTTAACCAGAATGTTCCTACAAATAGTTACCATGAAATGTGATGTTATTGATGGTGTTACTGGTCTTTATATATGACATATAAATCTCTATAAGATGGATAAAGAATTTATTGATCTGCAGACATTATTCCCTTAAGTGAACTCCACAGCCAAAAAATAGGCTGACTTTTCCTCTTACATGGTAATGAGCTTATGAGAAATGACCACAAAATTAAAATGCCACTGAAAACAAAGCTGAATGAATTCCAGGCTTCCTTCTGTAACTTAAAGTCCCTTCCCACATGTGTTCATACCTCCTATATTTAATTACCCTCGAAACAATGCTACGTGTCACGACAACAGAATTATTGGCTCAACACAGTAGCTTTAATGAGGACTTGAAAACTGAATGATAAAACCTTTTAGATCATGGCCTATGTCATTTCATGTATGGCAKGTGATAATGCACCTGTAATTGTAGAGGAAAAGTAATTAAGCTTAAAAACCTTATTCATAAATATATACGTATATCTGTGGTGGATCAGCACCCTGCCCTCATGTCCCKGTTGTTGACTTTTTCTTGAGCAACAAGCTTGTCATTCCTAATGCCAAAGGATTTAATTCATGGAGAAGTACAGTATTATTCTAAATCCCCTTGATGTTAATTTGTCTCTGAGTTCCCTTGTTCTCCTCTCAAGCAAACACTGACACAGCTCAGATCAGAACAGAAGCTCAAGTCTCACTCACTTTTTGAAAGTTTTCTGTATTTATAGTGTAAAGGGCTATTATATCAATATGGTTATAGATTTTAGTTGAATGCATTTATCTGATATTACTTTATGCCTCAGAACAACAGAGACTTTGAGAACTTCCATGAGAGAGGATATATTTGGAAAAGAAATGACTTCAGCTAAATGCTGTCTTTAGTTTTTGCTAGAATGAAAATTATTTCCTCCTTTTTAGACAGTCCTCTGTGTTATGTCTGCATTTAGACAGTCCAGGAATATTATGCAAAGTAATATTAAGTGGCTAGTGTGCTTCAATTAGGAAAATATCTGCATTGGATTCTAGACAGAGTCTAAAAGAAGGCTGCATTAACACGGATCAAAATTTGTGTGCTGCCATTTAAGTTCACAAACTTTTGATAGTGGTCAGTACAGTTCATTCCACATTAAAAAATTTCACATTACACAAAAAACAAAACAGTTATCCAGTTGATCCAAAAACATAGTTTGTAGGGATAGCTTGCATCTCTGAATCCCAATTGTATTTTTTCTTTCTTGTGTTTTCCATGTGACCTACTCTGATTTCCTTTCCTTTCCTTCCTCCCTTTAAGGAAGGGCACTAAATTAAGCAACATTTTAACAGTTCTCAGACTCCTGAAGATTATCCATTAATCCTTTTAGCCCAAATCCTGCCATTTAAAGTATGTACCTCTGTGACCTGATTCCTATACCTAGTTGAGGCACGAGCCCAGCATACGCTTGGAGAGGCTGTTTGAGAGATTTCTTTGAACAGGAAAAATCTGGTCTTGTTGAAAACGGTGGGTTTGGAGTTTGGAGCTTTTCTTTCCCCAGGGTAAAGGTGCTGAAAGAACTAATGTGCCTGGAACATTCTTCACTGAACTTATCAATTGCCTTTGAATGTTTGCATGAGGATGTAGATCCAGGATATGTATTGATTTCATATGTTAAAGGATACATAAAGCTCTTGTAATTAAGTATTTATGAATATATACATTTGTAATGTGAACGCATTTCATTCCTCAGTATTCTTGAACTAACTTCTAATAGTTAATAGGATGGCAAACTCTTACATTGGCTTAGGAAATTTTTTAAAACTTTACTGAATGTGTATCATCGACTGAGGAATGGTACCAAAATTTTAATAAATGACCTCCCAGTTTCATAACTTTTTGAGAAGGATAAAACTACAACAGTACTTATCTTACTTCAGCTAAAAGGGCTAATTTCAAGGAGGGAATCAGCAAGGACACAACRTGTTTTTGTTCTTTTCTTTACAGTGAAGCAGGTGCTGGTGTCTGCCCTGGCCTAAATTCCTGTGCTCAGGCTGCAAATGATTGGGAGTCGCTTTAGGCAGGAACTCCCGCGGGTCCCACGCTGCGCATGGGAAATCCTGTGTCTGGGTAACRGGCACAACGTGCTCCACCACATCTCCTATACATTATATACAAGCCTCGCAGTGAAGTAGTGCCTGGACTTTATTATAACCAATTTTCATCGCAAACTCCTAGGAAGTGCTCTTGAAAGTCATTGGATGTAGCCAGRAAAGGAAGCAGACCTGTAAATGAGTCAAATAGCCTCAAAATCATTAACTAAATTGCAAATTTAGAAATACACAATTGTGAAGCAGGCCCMTAAAAGACTCAAGTAGCCTCAAAATGATTAACTAAA